AGCAATGAGTACCTGTATACAATAAACAACCAATAGGCAAAGCCAACATACCACCAACCAACCAATCAAATGACAGAAAAGAACAGCCACTCAACATGGAGGAACTACAGCAAACAGCCAATCAAGCAGAAGACTGTTGGAAATAGCCCTCCTCAAATACTAAAAACAGACAGCTGTGCATCAAACCTTTACTATATCACAGACCATGATTAGGGAGGTGTGTAAACTCACCTGGTGTGTGAAAGTGTTTCTGTTTGGGGTCCTTTGGGTCCCCGCTGGCCCGCTGCATGCCATGGGGCTTGTTCAGGTAACTTCCCATGTACATCCTGTTCTTTGGAGTTGGAGAGTTCTGGGAAACAAAGGAAGGACCTTCAGTGAGATTATGTTAATGGCACAAGACTTACTCTGTTAGCATAAGAATGGATTTACCAGGCCCTCTTTGGGTAGTGGAGCTATCTGTTAATATAGAGGAGAGGGTAATTAGCTCCAACCACGTAAAATGCCTAGTACCAAGTGTCTAGATGAGCTAAGTGGCAGAGAGCTTCAACAGCCCTGAAAAGAGCCTGCTCAATCCATGATAGACGGACTGGATTGCAGGCTACACCAGAGTTATTTGGTATTGGTGATTTGGTATGCTGTATCATAAATTTTAAGATTTTGGAGAAAAAAACATTCACAAAATAATTAGTACATTTTATGTAGTTACATATAAATATAAGATTGACAGACTACCAGCATACCCACAGAAACACAACTTATACTAACAGTTCATCACATACAAATGTAGATGGCGCACTGACCAGTAAAAGACGCCGAAGGGCAGGTACACCAGCTATACAGATACAGAAAGCAATGTGCTGAAGACAGGCAAACCAGAATGAGGTTGTTTTTTAGAAAATATTGTTTTAACCCCCCCAAGCTGCTGAAAGTCAATAAAAGCCAAGAACACCCAAATCACCTAAATGAGAACAACTGATGCAAGCCGACTGTCAAACAGCACATAAGAAAACATGTCTCTGAAAATGAACATCCGGCCCAGAAAATACTGCCTCTTTCATACTCAAGCAGCTCAACACTTCTAAATATATACTAGTAGTAATCTCAAGATATTACCTTGACTGTTTTTCCTCCAATTCTGTACAAATCAAGCTACTAGAGCCTTAAACTCCCCTTTGCTTGGGATATTACTGTTGTCTACAGTATGCCTTACAGGTACCTCACAATGTTAGAAAAGATCAGCATTACGTACAGGATATTACATGTCATTAGCCTCTGGGAACATTTGAGAAAGACTATAATAGTGGCAAACAAAAGGAACCACCACACCAGCTGGTCTGCTTGTTGCAAACGATATCCCTCCCTCCTCACAGCTGGCCTTGGGAAGTTCTATTGTATCTAGCCTGTCGACTTCTATGCCTGAATGGGTTAGGATCGGGATCAGGCATGGTTCTGGATAGCCTACCTGCATCCAAGAACATAGATTGGCCCTAGGCATGGTTCACTATATGCCTGAACATGGTTCTGGATACAACAAAGGTGACATAAAAGGGGATAGAGAAGACATAGCCTCCACCAGGCCTTCATATGAAGAGTTATGGATAGTAGAATTGGGCAAAAATGGGGTGGACGATTGGCCAGGAGAGTTAGGCTGCCCTACAGGTAAGTTCCTGTGAATCCCTGTGGTGGCCAAACTCCCCTCACAAATTATTCTCCCTGTTTGGCTAAATTCTATTATTTTATTATTTTTAGGTGTTAGTCTAAGACTAACTGAGACTAGAGAGCACACAGCACTTACCCCACTCAAACAGCCCACCTCTCCACAAGGACAACCACATACACACACACGACCTAGTCACGCACTACACGTTTCAGCAGGGGTTCAAGTGGATATTGTACTTTGCCATTACCAAGTACAAGAGCTTATGACATGTCGCTGCAGACTGCCATGAAATATGACCCACAGCTTACGACCGAAGTGAACAGTCACACCCTCAATAAAACGTCTTCTCTACTTCTTCACTGTCTCAAGAATCAAGGATGCATAAAGGATGCTTGAGGAAAATGTTAAGTGACCAGAAATATAACTTAGAAGGAGATTCAAGGAGGTATCCCGCATCCAGTCCAGGTCTTATGCACAATTCTATAACAGGTGTAACATTAGCAGGAAGCTAATAAATGCACCGGGCTGGTCAACACTTAGCTGCAGCTGAGCACTTCAACTTCAGCAGAACTGTAATTGTTGTAACCTTTGCCCTGTAAGTTGTAACATTGTGCCAGTATTGTACCTCTGACAATATCTACTATCAGTCAGTCTCAAAAGACTATGACACTATCACAGTTACCAATTCTAGCAAAAACACTCTCCCCTTATTGCTAATACCTGTAGGTGAAATCATGCAACTATATTGAGTAGAATAGGTAGGAAATTTGCATTGGGAATGAGGGTCTGCATGGGGGTTCCTGGAAATGAATATGGTAAATTCAGGCTGGCTAGCTTAACTGTAAATTAAGTTCATTGTATAAAACTTTCGAAACTAGTCTGAACATTCCATGCTGGCACTAAGCAGGATTGTTAGCCTGCGGGGGGGGGGGGCGTCAACAGGGAGGAGTCAGGGTCAGAAGGGTATCAGCTGCCAATCAGTTACAGGGAGGTCTAGATTACACACAGGCTAAGTTTGCAGAATGGGTAGATGTGAGGTTGTATGGAGGATTTGCCTTTATTTCTAAACCAGTATTATTATGATAACAAAATAAAGCAAAAATAGCAATTTCTCACTCTAGACATAACTGTTATAATCTGTAGGCTAGTAGCTCTAAACTGTTAGGGGAAAAACAAACTCAGTGGCAATTCGATAGCAACTCAATTTTTTTTTATTCCAATTGCATGTGCATTATGCATAATGGTTTTGAAATAAAACCTCCTTTCTAAAAGAGTAAAAAATCAGTTTCTTGACTTTGGGAACTGGGGTTTTATCCAACCTCCTGTTGAAAACCTGTTTAAACTCTTACCTTTTGCTTCAACATGGGTGCTGAGGGAACCTGTCTGCGGAGTTTGAGTGGAGATTTGGGAGGAGTCTGAAGAATGTACTGGGGACACCGGGGGGTTGACTGCAGGGGAAAGGGGGACTTTCAGATGGACTTATACTTCTACTGTTATATGTTGGAAGATGATTAGTCCTTGGCAAATATTATACCATACAAATCGGTTCTGTTAAGTTCAAAATAGAATGATGAAGATATCTTCTTGCAAGAAAGAATATGTCCCATGTACTTGTAAGCACCGCATGACAATTAGTCCAGCTACCAACCCTGAGTCAGTACAGCTCAGTCACATGTACCCTGCTTTAACAAGTGGCTGGGAAGGTAGAAAACTAGTATCAAACACACTGACGTTAGTGGGAGGAAATTGAAGGCGGTATTGCATGTGGGCCTGTATGCAAAACTGAGAACCAGGCAGCTTCAGCATTATGTTTTTACTCCAAGTACATCTGTGTCATACATGTAGCTCCTCAAACATCATATCATATCAGAGCACAGGCCCTCAAAAAAAAAGGAACTTTTAAAAGAGGACTTGATTCACAAACTGCACAAGCAATGCAATCCATACTGACAGCATTGTCTATTCTCAATTATATGCTTATCCTGTGATGCTCTTTTGTTATCTATCTCAAGCAGTGGGAAGGAAGATGGTGACTAGTGGGATTTGCCAACAGCTCTTCCTGTTAGGAATGCCACATCAAGACTGCAGCACTGTAGGCACGTCAAGACTGCAGCACTGTCACACCAGCTCACCTTGGGGTACTTAGCCCGGTAGGGTGGGGCACTGGTGCCCAGTTTCTCGGCTATTTGCTATGGACATGACAGTAAGAGACAATAAGACCAACGCATGACAGACTTCATGTCAAACAGACATGTCCAGTTTACAACCATAATCCTTGATGTCCTTACACATCCACATCACAGGGACAACCAGTTGTTTCAAGGCAAGGTCCCATTTTGGGGAAGAGCCAATAATAGTCATTGTAGCATGTATCATGGCAAGAGATATTGTAACAGTTCTAGAATAGAAAATTATCTAGACCATGCTCATATGAATGATTTAAATTTTCAAAATGCAATGTAAATGGTAAGAAAATGGTCATGCAATACCAACATCTTTGTCATACCAATAATTGATAACTATTGGATTACAGAGTCTAGCAGATGCTGAGAGTGCAATGCATTTCAATACAAGACAGGATGCTGAAGAATGCTCCAAAATGCAAGTTACGTCATATAAAAATGTTCCAAGGAAACACTACCATGCTTCTGGTATACTGAAGTAAAGGAACATGAAAGAAAAGTGAAGAGATGCATAATATGCAGAGAAAATAATCTTTGTTTGCTTGTTTACCATGAAAACATGCATGATATGCAAAAAGTATGAGCAGTGAAAGTAACCTTGATAGGATAGTAGTTTTGCTTGGGAACTCGGTAGTCCTGATGTCGCCAATACTGCACAGCAGGTGCACCACGAGGGGAGGGGTAGAGACAGATAAACAGAGAGGCTTTATTGACGCAACAAAAAGTACAGCGACTTTTCGTAAGGTCAACAAAATAGAAAAACAAAATAAATCTGAAAATGCTACTTGCTAAAGAAAATAACGGGCTAAAAGGGCAAAGGAACTAGTCAGGACTGCTGGAGGCTATGGCTAATAAGTATGAACACAATCACTTCATTACTTGATCACAAGTGCATGTGGAAAAAATTTGCAATGAAGTTGGGAGATGTATACTGGTTTACACATTGTCATCATATTTTACGCAGAGAGATTTTTGGTATGCATGTAGAAATGATGACGAACAAGTAAGGAGGTGTAGACACTGTCTCTTGTAACAGTACTGTCAATACTCTTACAAATGTCCATTCTGGGAGGTTTAGTCTCTGAAGTGGACATTACAGAAATCATCAGCATGTGGGCAGAATTCAATACCATTAACTTGGACCTGTTTCTACCACAACTTTGTGGTTATTACGGTCAATAGAATGGATGACATTGACAGAAAAACTATAATTAAGTCAGTGAACAAAAGGTTAAGTTCATTTTCACAGTCATTATCCTATAATTGACTTCTTACTGCCTGAACAGCGCTTGACTAGATTGAAAACCATTTCGACCAGTGATTTCCTGTGCCCTGAGGGTGCTATTTGTCTGAAACTGAGCATCTACTAAGAAGCAGAGATTGGGCTTCTCAATGATTTCTTCAACAAATGTCATCATTTCTAATGACAATCAATGACATGTCCAAGCTCCCTTTCAAACCCATCTGCTGTGTTCAAGCCATGTTTAAGGAAGGGAAATCAGTCTTAAGTTTTCCTGGCATGCATATGTTGAGTTGATTCACAAACCTGATCAAACTATTCATGGACGTTGCACCATGACATGGACTGAGCATGGACAGGAAAATCTTACCTGGTCTTTTATACCATTAGCATGGGCAGCCTTGCTACAATCTGGATGCCAAATCTGGTTATCTGAAAGATGAAGAAAACAATGTTTAAATTTTCATTATATATGATGGCCACTGACATAAACATATGAAAGAGAAATGGACACAATCATCAACAGCTTAAGGTACATGTAGTGATACCTAATAAACAGTGGCTATTACATATTTTACAACAGCTATAAATGTTACAATTTGATATAGATTCTAAGATAATACAGTAGGTTCCCTCCCAACAAACATGGATAGTCTCAGTCAGCTTTACCAAGATGTCTCTCGGTCTATGCCTTGGATTTCTAAACTCCACATGGGTTCTCAGCAGTTTGTCAATTAAACACCCACGTTCTTGTGTGAGAAAACATCTTCTGTCATCTCCTTGGCGAGCCTGTATTATCTAAGAACATGTCATGCATGTAAATGACATGGTCTGCTGATAGCTGAGTAATATTTCACCCTCCCCTCCAGTGGAAATGCTATCTTGATGGGAGGGAACTTGGCACCACGTCAAGTATCCACAGGCAGGCCTGCCTGGCATGTTCACAGTTCTCTCTGTAAAATCCATACACATAGCAAATGGCCATTTCTGCAAGGCTGCAAAATGACAGCATCTCATCGTTTTCCAAGAATTGCTTTGACGTTTTGTTCTAATGCAGGGGTTTGATGGACGTCCTGAGTTACGAAATTGAAACTATACTCTGACTAAATTCTCTCGGTCATTCAGTTACTTTATTTTGCATAACATAATTTTCTACCTGAATGTCTACTTATCACTGATATATATTTTAATAGAATTATAAATTGAACAAAATGGTGAACAACACCAAAAGAAATTATTCCATCTTTGCCATATGACATACATGTATATAACCTTCATACATAACCAAGTTTGTGATAATATTAGTCAACTACATTCTTTGAGACATCTTTCTACCTCATTTACAAGTACCGGTAGCTGTTTAGAAGCACTATACACTGTCTACTGATACTGTTTAGGATCATAAGTATTTCAGGCACTTGCATTGACCACATATTACAAGTGATTTCTGATAAGCTGTATCATCTAGACTTCATCAGTTGGCTTCATGGTATTAGGACATCCTGGAGGGCCTTCAAACCACCTGCTCCATGCTTTCCATACTGTCACAGCTTGCTTTTTTTTGTTTCAAATAATTGTTTCACTGCCTTTACATTTGTAGACATAATACACCAGTTTTGTACATCAGGTACAATCTAGAACATGACTGTAAGGTTTCATCCACTCACACTGGGATGGAACCCATCTCTTTTCGATAACTGTTCTTGTAAAAGAAAACTACGGTTAGTAGAAAATTTGTGTTAAACTGTTTGAGTGGCCTGCAGTGCACTGGCCCAACCCTACTGATGGTATGGTATGAGTAAGCTTTCTGCCACATCAAACATGACTTTGTACTATTTGATCAGGATCAACAAACCAGCTATTAATATAACAATTTCCTGTACACATGTAAATCAAAATCAAACTGCTCTGACATATTATAGAGGTCCATACATCTTATAGGTGACAACACTTGTGTATGTTTATATATTATATTAGGCATTTTAGAACTAGGTTTTACATGAAGAGCTGATTTTGAGTATTACCCTCCCTAGCAGTGTATGTATCAATATCACTGCCAAACACTCACTTAATTTTCTATCCCAGTAATTATTGCAACTTCCTCACTAAAGAAACAAATAACACAATATAATGATTATGACTAAACAATATTGTAGTTGCAGATATATTTTGTATTCTGTAATGTTCAACCTAGATGTCTAACCTTTATTAACGTACATGTAATATGTAGTTGCATAATCATTGGACCTGAAACTGAGCAGGATCTTTAATCATCATCATAAAGTGTCATGGTTCCAATAAGTGAGATACACAGCTTGTTTTGATATGACAGAATTTCGGGGGTTAATTTTGTAGCCCCCCACCCCAGAAATGGTGCTATTTTTGTGCTGGTGCAGCGACAGACCACATTCTGCATGCGGCACCACGCTCTACTGTCCTGGATCAGATTCTGTTTTTAAAAGCTTAGAGGGGTAATGAAATAACACTTCATTCACAGGGAGTTCACACGTTTCGGTCATCAGTACATGATGTACATTGTTCCTTCATCTGTATGGTTATACATGTAGTGTCCAAAGCAGATGCTGCATAACCCTTTTTGGCCTTGGTCATGCTGCAGCAATTTTATATCACACACACATAGTTCAGGATATTTTATCTGTGTGAATGGAGCCCCTGTTATCCATATCACTATTGCGAACAAAAAGTGCTCCATTTTCTTGTCCATGTGCTACTACAGTATCGTTAAATAATACAACTATTGTATGAAAGCCCATGTATATGCATAGAATTTGGCCTGGGTGCCATGGTCTTATTTAGTTTGGGGCCCATACTTGTCCCCTCACAGGCCAGCATGGGAGTCCTGGTAAACTAAATAGGATAGCTGCCAGGCTACATTCAACCAATAATTTTGGATGATAAAAAAATCACATTCAAACCCTACAATAGGCAAAACATGACGTGTATATACACACTGTATATACATGTATCATAACTAATGTTGCTCTTAACATACCAAATGTACATACATGTAAGTTCTAGATTCTGAGCTACCTTAATAATTCTATGCTATGGTTAGCTGTTGGTGTTGTTTATGCTACAGGTTATGATTAAGAGAGTCAGTATGAGGGGTGGGAGTGGCAATGCTAAATCAGACAGTACTTACAAAGTATAACCTATACAGAATATTATTTGTTATTTTCAGTGTGCACAAAATTTTTGTGAACCACTGGCACATGAGTTAAGTAAAATCAAATGACTGTAAACATTTTCTTTTATAATTCCCTTTCTGAAGCATTCTATGCTGTACATTGTGCAACTCCCTGATCTCATATTCTCAGTAAAAACTAGAAATAAGATTGTTGTCAAAACAACTTTAACACTGTGATTGTGAAAGGAACAGAGCATCAACAGGATGTGGCATCTCATTCACCTTGCAGATCAACTTTATATAAAAAAATATAATCTGCCAGAGAATATTTCAATGGGGTTTTGTATTCCACCTTTTCTGCACATACAACATCATTTGATTGGGCAATTTTTGATAATTATTGGTCAAGATTTTATTAGTATTAAAAATAATACTCATCAATCATGTGCCATATAGATATATTGCACTTCTCTTACAGAGGTTAGTCCTATATTTTGGTTGTAGTATATAACTATTTCAAAAAGCTGTTTCTCTTTCAGATTCATAATGAGTGCATTTATGAACAAAATGTTATCTATTAAGTATTGGGAATCCTTGACAACCCAACAGTAGTGTCCATCCACTGTGGACAGGACCAGAGGCTTACCTTGCAGATACATCTCCTCACCCTCCCCAAACATCAGCCCACACTTGGCACATTTCGCACAGTGAGGGTGATAATGCTTCTCTCCTGCCTGTAACAAGACAACAACACACAGGTAAGTAAACCAACCCACCTGGTGGAAAGGAGAGAACAGCTCCCACGTACAAGGATGGCTGGGCAGCTACGCTGGCTACGTACTAACTCCTGGCTCTGGGCATGTTTTATGCAGTGTTTTGAACTATGCGGCCAATTTGAAATATGATCTGTGACCTCGTCACGTCACCAAAAAAATGGATCTCCTTTTGCTGCGGACGATGTGATGCCACATAAAGGGAGGTTCATTCAGCAGCAACAGGAAAGATCATTTCAGTTCTGGTTGTGTGAGATGGCGGTTGTGAAGAAAAAAACAGATTTAGACCCAGGCTGGAGACCAACAGTCTCCATAACCAACACAGACACCAGAGGGTAATGCAATCTGAATGGCAACACCCTTGGCAGAATGTTTCACATAGTTGGCGAGGATATGTTACCCACAGTCTGTTTTTCACACCCAGGGAGGAACAGAAAAGTGGCTGGATGACACGTAGACCGTGGCGGTCAGTATCACGCTGTATTTATGGCTGCACAGCGCGCATTAGGGCAGTGATCCCTTTCCAGGCCTGTGCCCTTCTGTCCCTCACCAAATGGCACATAACAGAGAAAACTGAACCTGTTAAATTAATGGAGTGTGTCCCAACCCCAGTTGAACCTTTGACATCACCAACATGATAAGCTTTTCTGCATTTCTTCATTACAAGTCTTTATACACAATTTACCTTGAAGTTCATAAGATTATTCTTTAACAGTAAGTTACTTCACTGTGTTTGTACAGCCCAATTTCAGGTAAGTCTGACGTTGGCATGGCAACAGCACCTACAGTAATAAAGTGTTATTTCAGCACAGTGGACAGGGTAATGGTTTTTGTGAAGCCGTGACTGGGGTGCAGAATTATGGCTTTGCCAGTGGCGGTACAGTACAGTAGGCCATCTGGACATGTCATGGTCGTGACCGATGGTTTCTCAGTAAATGAAATAAGCAATTCCCTGGTTGTGCTAATTCATAATGCACATTAAAACTATTACATTTATTGTGAAATATCAGCATAAATGAATTTACTGCACAATAATCATACAAAGTAATAAAAACTGCCTTGTCTGGACTGTTTTCACTCCTGTAGTTATCATATTCATTTCTATATTGATTTGCAGCATCCATATATTCAGTGCCTACATGTTGGGAGGGATATTGCTTTTACTGTGGATATTGTTTATAGACCCACATATGTTTGTGAATCTCTGTATGACCATAAGGATTGCTTGATGTACAGTACATTTGAAGATGACTTCAGGTGGAATGCAGGTATATCATGACTTGAGACATAGAATCTGGTGTTATAATAAAATATTACAAACCATTTCCCTAACACTAACAGACCACACACACCCCCACACACCCCCCATGTTTGTACTGGAGCTGCCTGTGGCACCCTGGGAGGTCATGCCCAATTTGGGATGTCAACTTCAAGGGGACTGACTGCCCACCATGAAGGCTAAGGCCAAGGAACAGCATCAGGTATGCGGTTTGAGGTCACAGCAAAAATATTTCACTTTATAGTATAATATAATACATTGTACAATAAAATTGGGATGTGGTCAATCAAAATCAAGTTTCTGAACTTGTCTTAAAAGTATAACATTTCTCTCTGTCAATGTCAATAAACCCAGCAGACCAAACTGTACTAATGTCTGCAGGTGCCCCATTGTCTGGACTTTTATGGGACTGGCACAAATAAACCACTTGCTTGGCTTGGCAGTGTCCCCATCTTTCATCCATGTAGTTTACTGGAGGCAAATGTGCTGAAAGTTGCACCCTAGCTGTCAAATCAACCACACTAAGGACTGCAGTTCAAGAACAAGCTGCTAAGGAGCTCCAACCTACATCACTTTTTACTGACACGAAAGCCATCTGTTACCAAAAATATTAAGATCATAGCATGTCCATGACAAAGCATACAGTAGCTGAGGTACTATGTACGCCATGGGAACTCATTTTCTCCTTAAGTTTGTCAATTCAGCCATTCCAAGTACAGATACTTCTTGCGACTTCCCACATTTGTGGAAGAATTGACATAACAGGTGACTATCATTTTATAACATAACAAACTGGAGGACGATCCTAACCAAAGCTTAGTGCTTATTTACGAGTAAGGAAATAAGTTTTACCGGTAAGTCCCTTCCCAAGGGCACAACGCTGGGGCCTGCCAGGGATTCAGAACCTTCAGATTTTAACTCAACAGTCCTAGGAACAAGACCACCTTGCCACTTTATTTATTACCCAGAATACAGGGTATGGGACTATGGGTAATGTTTGTTTACAGTTAACAGTACTCCCATTAACACCATGTATCAATTCAAAAGCTACTACATGAAGTCAGCAAACACTGTAAGTATCCAAATATGGACAACAGTGAATCATTGATTTGAGTCTTGTGCTTCCCAATAGGAGTTGTCCATGTGGTTATACACACAAACTTGGCTGCTGTAATATAACACTACAGTCAAGACTTAGTCATGATCTGAGAAATCAGATTAGCAGCAAGGTCTGTAAGATTCCAGTCTTATTGTATAACTAACAGTGGTTGCTGCTACATGATTAATGGCACGTATTCCACCATATATACCATAAAACTTGAGTTGATACGTCAATTGAAGTGTTGTCTATGGCAGTTAAGTCAAGATGATAATCCCCAAGTTGTGACAGTTTGCTCAGCTGCGCAAAACCATAAAGTCTCCTTGTCGAGCAGTAAATCTCAAATCTGCTATTTTCACCATTAGAACATTATATCAATTTCAGATTTCTTTACGACAAATCCCAACAAGGAAATAGCTGCCAGTTAAGGTAGTGATTGAAAAAGCTCCTGGAGGCTATCCTGAAGATTGTACTAGTAACAATCCCAGTTGTTCTTGGGCCATATATGCACATACTAACTAACACACCTCACTACTTCTACTACAGGAAAGTTAATGATGATATGTATACAAATGATAGTCTTATCTACAAGTCACCTTTTGTGATCCCTACTGTCCTTGGTATATCCCCCTCTATGAAAACCTTGCAGGTAGTATTCCTGTGTTTTCCAGAGATAGCACCAGTCTGGTTTAAGAGACAACGCCTGTGTCAAAGTACACTGGACCAGGTCAGAGTTCAGCCACCAGATAGTGGTGTTTGTCTTCCTATCACAGGGACTCCTGAATACTGGGGTATCCAGGCACTGCCAAGAATAAACCAAGGGAAAGGTACATGACGCAAATGGAGGTAACTCAAAGCAGCCGCCTCTAATTGTTGTCTTTCTGCAGCAGCATAGGTTTACATTCCAGTTGTACTAGAAGTCAGGAAAACTATTCCTCCCTGGGGTTTGGGTGGGGAGATCAGGTAGCCTGGCAGCAGACAGGTGAGGGGCGATGTGAAGACAGTTAACATCACCTGACTGTAAAATTATAGTGCTTATCTCAGGAACTTCAACAACTGTCTGTTGTTCAAGCTTAAAACTTAATGAAAATATTTTAAGTCTTTTCTATCTGCAAAACTCAATTTAACTTCTATTGGTACAACCTGATTTTTGTTCCAACTTTTCTTCAGTTGATAAATAGATCAAAGTCAAATTCTTCTGTTACATTTCATCCTGTAATACTTTGAAAAATATGATACATAAAGATCAGATACTTTCTGAAAATACATGTACACGTGAAATAGAAAAAAAAATGAGAACATTTACCATTTGTTTTCCCAGATTTTTCCACCTCTTTTCTCTATGAAGAAGTTAACTTTTAACAATTGTGAGAGCTTTGTAATGATTGAGCATACACAGGTCATGGATGAAAAGACACTGACAAGCTACGGTCAAGTACAAACACTTATTTGTGACACCAGAGTCTGACTAAGGTATGCAGTTCAAATGCAGGGAAATATCAGAAAAATGAGAAAAACTTGTTTACGATGTTGAAGTTAGCTATAACATTTTGATTAATTTATTTTAATAATATGTTGTCCACCCGAGTTTTTTTCTGCGCACAAAATTTTGAACTTAGCTGCACCGCCAAAAATGAATTTCCAACCCTGTGCGGTCAAGTACAAACACTTGTTTGTGACAGCGGAGTCTGACTAAGTAAGGTATGCAGTTCAAATACAGGGAAATATCAGAAAAATGAGAAAAACTTGTTTACGATGTTGAAGTTAGCTATAACATTTTGGTTGATTTATTGTTTGAGTTGAGTTGTTTTCTGTGCACAAAATTTTGAACTTAGCTGCACCACCAAAAATGAATTTCCAACCCTGTGCGGTCAAGTACAAACACTTGTTTGTGACAGCGGAGTCTGACTGAGGTATGCAGGGTGAGCCTTTGTACCCGTCCCTCAGAACCAGACCGCTGTTTGCTGAGTACACAGTTGTGTTTGCTAACCTCTCCAGCAGAAGGCAAAGGGCACCTACCTTCCCTTCTCCTCCAGAAAACACGTACACATATAACATCAGCACATAATACAAAATAAAGCAAGCAATTGCACAAGTTCTCCGAGGAGTCAGACATTTCAAACTAGTATCTGATACATAAAGTTGAGGCCTAGATTCATTGAACCCATATCCTTACCTGGCTAACAAGGCTGCAAATGTCACATGCAAAACAACTCCTAAAACTTGACACAGCTGCACCAAAGTTGCCACACCCCTTTTAAAGTTGCCACACCCTGCTTAAGGTCGCCACATCTCACACCTCAATTATCCCTACAAACCTGTAGAGGACAGTACAACTCATCTTTACTGTGCCTGATGTCTGTTGGAGTGTACATTGGTGTAACATAAAGAAGCCCAGCAGGGAAGAACAACTCTTTCCAAACTTAATGTACACCCTAATTGATTTTATCCTGACAATACCTGTGTACCTCTAACACAGACATAATGACTGAAAAACCATTTTCACTCCTTTTAATTCTCTCTCCGTACTCCATGGGGTGTGATGTCAGCCAAATCAAATTCTGAGGAGAACAAATAACTGAA